CAGGAGCAGCAGTGATAGTGGACTACACTTGCTCTCCAAACACAAGTCATGCTTGGGGGCAAGACTGGGGTAGTCCCCACAGACCAGCAGCCCAGGCCCCCTTTTCACTATGGGTCTGCCTCATGCCCTGGAGACCCTCTTCAGACTCAGTGGGATTTCTGTTTTTTTCTAATAAATGTTTAGGGAGAAATAGATCACCTGGTCAAAGGACAAGGTGGTGCTGATATACAGTGGGAAGGCTGGGGCCCAAGGGTCATGGGGCTCCCTGGCTGTCGTGTGGGAAGGACTCAAACACAGGAGAAGGCAGCATGTAGCCACTAGGCCTCACTTCTGGACTCTTGTCCTTCACTGGAGTGCTTGGCCAGGTACATCTGTCCAGTGATGCAGAGACCCAAGAGCAGCTACAAACTCCCAAACATTAAATGAGAAGAACAGGCCCAAGGAGCATGGGCAGCAGGGGAAGCAGGGTCCCTACCCATAAATGATCCAAACACAGCTGCAGAGGACACAGCTGCAAGTTGTTAAATTACCCTCACTGAGCAGATGCTAGACACGACCCACAGACAATGGAACACGCTGGGAGTAGGGCAGTTGATTCAGGCGCTTTATTAGGTTCCACTGCAGAGCTGGTCCAAACCCGGCTGGGGCACACCAGCCAGCCCAAGATGGAGCTAAAGCAGGCACACCTGTGTCCCAGGAGCACCTGCTCAGAGGTGAGCCGGGTGCTGTGTCCCAGGAGCACCTGCTCAGAGGTGAGCCGGGTGCTGTGTCCCAGGAGCACCTGCTCAGAGGTGAGCCGAGGTGGGGCAGGGCGGGCGCCAGGGGACATGGCAGCTGCTATGTGTTGATCTGGGCAGGTATGCTCCCACAAACTCCTCACTGGGTCATGGTACCTAGTAGCCTAAGGGTGTAGCCACACCAAGGGCAGAAGAGAGAACTGGAAGTGTGGCTGAGGCCTACACCCTGAAAAAGAGAAGGCAGAGCCTCCCAGGGCCCAGGCAGGGCAGGACTCACCCCCAAGCTTTACACTTAACTCTGACTCTCTTTGGACAATAAAATAAAGTGCATTACTGAACAAAGAGTAACTCAAAACCAGAAGCAGAGAAATCACAACACTTTTTCTTTAGCTAAAAGACAAAACATAAATTTTGTGAATGCCAGAACTTCACAGGAAGGGGACACTGCTGTGGGCGGAAAGGAAAGTAGCGTGGGGGGCAGAGACAGAGCAGGTGGAAGAGCAGCTTAGAAGCTGCAGCAGGGTCCCCAGAAGTCTGTGCTGTCCAGCTTGTGCCGGGGGGTGAAGGGAAAGCAGTGTGGGCATGAATGGCTGGGAAACAGGCAAGCAGAGGGCACAGAGAGCACAGGCCACCCAGCTTCCAGGCTGACCATGGGCCCAGAAGCCCCAGCACCTTCTCAATAGCTGTAGGCCATCAAGCTGGGGTCTAACAGCTCAGATCTTCCCCACTGCCCTGCCCGTAGGAGAGCTCTGCTGCAACCGACCATCCCAATTGGACCTTGGTACCAAAAGCAGACAAACTGCTTGGGCCTTTCACTTGGTGTACCCAGCCAGGTGGACCTGGAGGTGTTGGCCATGGCCCTAGTTACATGAGAGGCAATCACTCTCTGTCCACAGTGCCAAGGCTGAAGGAGGGTCACACAGGCTTGCCCCCCAGGTGGACACAGAAGTCTCCAACCACAGTCTGTGGCTGAGCCAGCCTTGCCCAAAGGCATGGGGCAGCTCTGACACGACTATCTTTAAGGCAAAGCGGCATCGAGATGCCCACAGCTCCCCTGGTGGGGGCAAGCTGCAGCCCCCTACGGAGGAGACTTGGAGGCCACAGAGCACACACATAAGATCCTACCACAAGCCTGCTGTGGACTGCCTGGACCTCACTCTGTCAGTACAGTGTCAACTGTCCAATCCGCACAGAGGCTCCAAGTGGCCCTCACAAAAGGCCAAGCCCCTAACAGCCTCACCCAGGCCCGTCCTGGTGGCCATATGGCTATGCCAGAAGTCTGGGACCAAGTGGCGCAATGGGATAGAGGAACAGCAAGAGGGGAGGGGACCAGAAAATCTGGTCCCAGGTGGCCCAGCTATCCCCACCAGAGCCATCTGGAGGGGCGCCCACTAGGTGAGAACCACCATGCCACCCCGCCCCCATCGTGTTCAGCCTGCAAGGTCTATAGATGTCACAGCTGTGTGGCTTGGTAGAAAAGTCTCAGGCACTGAGGTTTACTTCATAGGAGACCTGACTGTGGTGCCCCTGTCCACATGCCCACCCTCCACACACCCTCAAGGGGCTTTACTAGAGGAGGGGAGGAAGTAGAAACTAGTCTCTTTCACTCCCCTTCTGTGCAGTTTTTATCTTAAAAAAATAAATAAATAAAAGTCTTCCGGGTAGGAATTACTGATAACTGTTATTGTAACCAACGCAGGCTTTAGATCCCAGCTGGACGTCGGACACAGGAGGAAAAGGGCGGGTGGCCAAGTAACCCAAAGCCCACAGGTTGCAATGCCACTCGTGTTCCCCCAGGCAATGGCTGTCAGAGAGGAAAAGTGGCCCTCACAGGCAGGGTCTCTGCCCCAGAGCAACAGGGGACAAAGGCAACAAGCGCTCCCGACCAACCAATGCAGGGTGGGAGACAAGGTTAGAAAGCATCGGAAAGGAAGGAGAGAGAAAGCTGGGTGGTGGCAACAGCCCCTGCCCCTCCAGGTGTAGATTTAGATATGCAGGTCCTCCTAACACAGCAGGGGCTTGTCAACTGGGCCAGACATGTGGGAAGGTCTTGGCTGGAGACCACTCTGCACTTCCAGTTTGGAGATTCATTTGACCTGTAGAACACCAGCTGTGGCTCCCTCTCCAAGGAAAAAACGTGCTGAGAAGCTTCATTGGGTCTGAGACCCAGTGCAGCCAGCCCCTGCCCTTCAGGGCTGCCCACTGCGGGGCTGTCACAGGGAACACGTTGCACCACACTTCTGGCTTCAGAGAGGGCTGGGCTGGGCCCAGTCCTACCCAGCAAGGGCTAGAGCCCTAGGTCCTGGGGAGGCTGCACATCTCGCAGTGGCCTGTGCCTGGCTGGTTCATGAAGGTGCAATGCTGACACGCCCACATGGCAGCAGTGGCCACGTGCACAGAGCCCCCAACAGCTCCGTACTCCTGGAGGCCTGGGAGCTGCACTCCAACTGTGCCTGCAGGGCAGAAGAGACAGGGTGCTGGTCAGAGAACACACTTCAATAGGCAGGAGCTCCTGGCCTGGGGGTGGAAGTGGGAGAAGGCACAGAGAACCTGCTAGGAGTCACCCTTCTTTTTTTTTTTTTTTTGAGACAGAGCCTCAAGCTATCCCCCTGGGTAGAGTGCTATGGCATCACAGCTCACAGCAACCTCTAACTCCTGGGCTCAAGCGAGTCTCCTGCCTCAGCCTCCCAAGTAGCTGGGACCACAGGCACCTGTCACAGTGCCCGGCTATTTTTTGGTTGCAGTCGTCATTGTTGTTTTGGCGGGCCCAGGCTGGATTCGAACCCACCACCTTAGGTGTATGTGGCTGGCACCCTAGCCACTTGAGCCACAGGTACCAAGCCGAGTCACCCTTCTTATATCTGGCACTCAAGCTGAAAGTCTGTCCAGCCATCAGCTATGACAGACTTGGAGATAGCTCCCTGACCTCCACCTGCACTTATCTGTCCCCTCTTACTGCTGAAGAGCATGCCTCTAGCTCTGTGCCTCCAGAACAAGGCTGCCATGAGCATTTATTTATTTATTTATATGTATATTTTGAGACAGAGTTTCACTTTGTAGCCCTCAGTAGAGTGCCATGGCGTCACAGCTCACAGCAACCTCAACCTCTTGGGCTTAAAGGATCCTCTTGCCTCAGCCTCCCATGTAGCTGGGACTACAGGCACCTGCCACAATGCCCGCTAATTTTAGAGATGAGGTCTCACTCTGGCTCAGGCTGGTCTTGAACCTGTGAACTCGGGCAATCCACCTGCCTCAGCCTCCCAGAGTGCTAGAATTACAGGTGTGAGCCACTATACCCGGCCCCTTGAGCATTAGATATACTCTTTGGTGGGAAACCTGTGTTTCCATTTCCCTTAGGCAAAAATACTAGGAATGGGCCACACCCCAAACCTTGCTGGCTCACAAGGTAACTTTATGTTGAAATTTCTGAGAAACTAACAGACTGTTTTTCACAGTGGCTGTGCTGTCCAACACCCCCAAGTGGGATATGAGGGTTCTAGGTGCTCCATATCCTCACCAGTGCTTGACATTGTCAAGTTCTTTTTTTTATATTAGCCACTTTGATGAATGTTTAATAGTTTCTCATTTGTTTTAATTTGTGGCCAAATGCAGTTGGTCAACCTTGTAATTACTCCCAGAATTCCAGGAAGTCTGGGTAAGAGAATTGCTTGAAGGCAGGAGTTTGATACCAGCCTGGGCAACATATCAAGACCTCATGTCTCTAAAAAATATAAAAACATTAGCCAGGCATGGTGCACCTATAGTCCCAGGTACTCAGGAATCTGAAACAGGAGAATGGCTTGAGCCCAGCAGTTAGAGGCTGCAGTATAATTGCACCACTGCTCTCTAGCCTGGGTGAGAGCAAGACCTTATCTCAAAAAAACCCCTCCAAAACCCAAAAATGTTTGCATTTTTCTGGTGACTAATGATAGGAACTGTTCCTATATTTCTTCCTGTAAAATGTTTCAGTCCTGGCTCGGCGCCTGTGGCGCAAGCGGCTAAGGCGCCAGCCACGTACACCTAAGGTGGTGGGTTCGAATCCCCAGCCCGGGCCCGCCAAACAACGATGGCTGCAACCAAAAAATGGCCAGGCGTTGTGGTGGGCGCCTGTAGTCCCAGCTGCTTGGGAGGCTGAGGCAGGAGACTCTCTTGAGCCCAGGAGTTGGAGGTTGCT